TAGGGGATATAGTGGTTCAAGACCGAGGAAGTGAATTTTTTAACAAGCAAAAACATGAAAAGCTATCTTCCCCAGCTTCAACCTAACTTCCACAACTTCAACATAACTATCATAATTCGTTATGCTCATATCATCATATCAGTTATTATTGTTTTCCTTCTCCGCGGCGCCTCTCCCACCACCAGGGCCACGCTGGCTAGGGGATTTTAAAATATCGCCGGGGCGGCTGGCGGGCTCACTCCAGCCGCTCGGCGTCACCCCACACGTCTGGGAGCCAGCGCACGGGCGTCCGACCTCACGTCGGAGCCTGGTGCGCCGGGGTCCCGGGGGGGGGTACTGGGGCGATCTGGAGGCCGCGGGCGACACTGCCCGCTCAGCGGCGCGAGCCAAGGGCCATGCATTGGCAATGCCCCAGCCGAAATTCTGTCCCCCCAGCACCCCCACCCGCGCGGGGGGCCTGAGGGACCTCGGACCCCCCGCGCGCTGCGCCACCCCGGCGCGCGCCCCGAGCCCCCCCGGCCAGATTGGGGGGGAACGATTAGCCTTGGGTCCTTGACGCGGCTCCAATCGCCCCCCCCCCCCCCTGCGCACCTCGGGGGCCCCCGGGCCAGGCCGCCGGGGCACCACCCCGGGGGCCGATGGGAGAAGGGGGGGGAGAAGGTCCAGGAGGGCCGCCAAGCCAACGTCGCCTCGGCGACTATTCCGGGCCGCGGACGTTCCCCCTCGTTTCCGGCACGCCCGCGTCTTGGCAGTGGCGACGGCACCGACGGCGGCGGCGGCAGCGGCCGCGCCGAGGCGGCGCCCGAGCGGCGACAGCGGCAGCGGCGGCGACGATGGCGGGGGGGAGGGGTTCCCCCCTTCCCACGGGGGCAATTACCCTCTAAGCTCCCTTCCCCCCATCGCGCGGCGCTGGCGGCGCTTCCCGGGGTCTCACGCCGCGCGGCGCTGGCAGCGCTGCTCCAGGCTGCGGATGGCGAGCGCTGCCTCCGCCGCCGCCTCGTGGGGGCTGTCCCCGAGGAGCCAGCGCCCCCGCCGCTCGGGCTGCGCCGGGAGGGGCACCGCTGCGGTGGAGGGGCACCGCTGCGGTGGTGTTCCATGCTGCTAGCACGTCGGCGGCCTCCTCGCACTGGGCCACTGGGTGCGTCGCAGACTCGAGAGACGCGCGGCAGGGCCGGCACGGCTGGAGGCCGCCAGCTCGGTCTGCCTGGAAGGCCCTCTGGAACGCAAAGCGCGCCCAGGCGCGGACCGCATCCGGCGGGCACCCAGCCGCCGTCAGGGCTGGGGCACCCCATTGCCGGCCGGAGATGCGCTGGAGCCCCTGCACCTGGCTGCTGTGGCTCCACCAGCGCAGCTCGTCCGTGTCGTCCAGCGCCTTCTCGATGCGCCCGCGGTGCTCCCGGTATTGGCGCCACTGGGCCGCCGCGCTGCCGCTTGGCTGCGCTCGCGGGGGCCTGGTGTTCTAGCGCTTGAGCGCGGTCGCCACCGCTTCCCCCCACGAGCCCGGCGTATCCTCTGAGAGGCCAAAGACGTTCCGCGCCTCCTCGTACCGGGGGTCCGCGTCCACCTGGATCCGCAGCATGCGAGAGCCGCCGGGTCCAGCCCAGCTGGTCCAGGAGTATGCTGCGAGGTAGTGACCTTGTGAGTCCAAGGACGGCTCGGCCCCACTATTCCTGCAGGCGGGTGACCTCGCGCTCGAACTCGGGCAGGTGGAAGCAGAGCTCCAGGCCGAATAACGCCGCCAGCCTCGTGCACGTCCTCAGCGCGTCGAGCTGCTCCCTGACTGGGAATCCACGGTCCTGCATGGCCCGTCTCTGGCGCTTGCCCAGGGCACTGCCGCCCTCCAGGCATGCCCGCAAGTGTCCCTGCGCAGGGGGGCCTCCGTCGCGGACTACTCCAAGGCAGCGATAGGAGTCAACGAGTGCTACGTCCCCGCGCGGCCTGGTGTCTCGCAGCCCGCAAGCTAGGGCTGCTGTCTTCGTAGGGCCATAGCGAAGGTGTCCTCGATACTTGTTGGACGTTTGCTGTAGGGCCTGCGCCACTTGCCCGCATTGGCCCCGCGAGGACACTTTGTTGCGGAGGTCGTCCACGAAAGACCGGGCCCCGACGCGGATCTCAGCCGACGCGGATATCCTCCTCCTCCTCCTCCTCCTCATCATCATCATCATCATCATCATCAGCATCATCATCATCATCATCATCATCATCATCATCATCATCATCATCAGCATCAGCATCAGCATCAGCATCAGCATCAGCATCAGCATCAGCATCAGCATCAGCATCATCAGCATCAGCATCAGCATCAGCATCAGCATCAGCATCAGCATCAGCATCAGCATCAGCATCAGCATCAGCATCAGCATCATCATCATCATCATCATCATCATCATCATCATCATCATCATCATCATCATCATCCCCTCCCTCCTCCTCACTCCTCCTTTTCATCCTCTCCCCCCCTCCCCCTCCTTCCTTCGCTACTTCGCTCCACCTTCCTCCTCCCTCCCCTCATACTGCTCTCGCATCTGCGCGCGGTCCCAAGAAGTACCTGTTTCGCCTGTAGCATGGTTCGCACGAGAGGGATCAACGTAGGGGCTGCACGCTTGCGTTATACAGATAACATTCCCCCCCACTCTCCGACCTTCATGTGCCCCGTATCAGAGCAGCGCCGTCGTTGTCGTCGTCGTCATCGTTCTGTTTATTCTTGTCATGACGTATTCCGACCTGCTCTTGCTCTTCGCCTGCGTGCAAAACCCCATGAGGTGCACGTTATGAGACGACGATGTTTCAACGCTGATACGGAGCCTGGTGTGCTAAAGAGGAAGAAGGAAGCGCGAGGAGGGAGGGGGAGTGAGAGAAACCTACACCTGCACATGGACAGGAACGCCTCTAAGCCTTCGCCTTTTTCTTAGGTCGTCGTCGTTTTCGCCTGCCCCACGTCCTCTGTCCTTTTCCACGCTTGCCCTCGTACATGCTCCTCCTCTCAGCTACGCGCACAGAGGAGGGGTGGCGCGAGGAGGTGCCCTCTGAGAAGGCAGGGGGGCTTCTTCGAAGGCAAATCAGCAGCGCCTGGAGGTTTCGCAGAAGCGTTCTCACAAGCCTCTGGGCCCCTCTAAGACGGCCCCTGCCGCCTAAGAAATACTCCACAAAGAACGACTGGCGTGAGGAGCGAGGGCACGAAAGGGTAACCAGCCAACTAGCAAGCACCCTGTTAACAATCAAGAACAAACTCTCGCAGACTGATGACGATGAGGACGACGACCGCGAATACGATCATCACTCTAGAACCACCTCACGGCCCATGTGCGGCGCTGAACAACAGCCGGCCGCGTCGCGCGAGAGGCCACCCGCGGCGTCGCTGGCATACCGATGTGCAGATCTGACGGCGCATTCCCCCGCCCTACCCCCGAGCTCCGCATGGGGCCGAGGTGAGCGCATTGCAGCGCAGCGAAGACGGCGACATGGCTTTACGCGGATGCCCTGCATGGAGCGAATTCGCGGGATCGCGCATCCGTGGGGCCGCACTTGGCATCCAGAGACGAGCGGGCAAACACACGGACACGTATGATGTCCATCACCCGTAAAGGCTGGGAGAGCGAAATAGGGAAGATTGACTACGCAGCGCTGCTCTGACGAAGGTGTGAGCTGCTTAGGGCGCCTGTGTTCCTTTGTGCTGATGCGCCGTCTATAAAGGAAGAAGAAGCTGCACAGACATAAACGGTTAGAGGTACTCTCGAATTTCTTGGATCCGCGCCTGACATGCCTTCCTGCCGCGCGGAGCGCGCAAAGAGCGGCGCGGGAGGCACCGCCAAAGGGGAAGGGCCAGCGCAGGTCCAAGCACTCCGCGCCGAGCTCCGAAAGTTTCGGTTTATGCAGTGTTTTCCTTCTTCGACTCTAGGCGCTGGGCCTACCTGACTGCTCTACCTACCCCCCACCCTCGCCCGACCCGAGCGGCCTGCCCGCTGGCCAGTCTGGAGGACGTGCAACTCACGGGCCGAACTCGGTCCCTAGGCCCCCCCCAGGGGTACATTCCTATCCGTTTTCGAGACGGACCCCGACGTGACGACGAGAGGCCTCCAGGAGGCCGAGGCCAGACACGGAGGAAATTATCTCGCTGGGGTGCGCCGCCAATATCTCGACTGGCCCTCCTCCGAAATTTGGAAGACGGGCGCCGCCCCCGTTTCCTTATCCCCCTCTCTTCTCCGACCCGGGTGCTCCTCGTCGCCCGGTTTCCCGGTCACATTTCGGGTCTTTGGCGGACGTTCGGGGCAATCCGGGCACACCCGGAACGCCGCTGCTGGAGAGCACCCCGAGGCTGGAAGACCGCCGAGAACCGGCTAAAACGACCGAAAGCATTGAACCTCAAACCCCCCAAAGCAATTCCTCAATTATTTGCGGTCACGCCCGTGACTAGCCGCGCCGCTCCCCTCCGCCCCTGGTCAGATCACGATTCGCGCTGGCGCCGTCTGGGAACTCACCACACTTAGTTAAGCATTCCCAGACGGCGCTAGCGTGAAGTGAATTGTGACGTGACCGGCCCCCTCCCCCCACCCCGCGGCCACGCCCTTGAGCGCCAGGGGATGAAAAAAACGGGCTCCATTTTCTCGTGACGAAAGATCACGACGGGAGGTTCTTACTCAGTTTCAGCCTCCTGGAGGCCCCTTCGGACTCAAATAACGACTCATGGATCAAGAGCTGGCCCCCTGGGAAGGAGTTTATTGAGCTCCTGCAGGGCCCGACGCCGTGAGAAGATCACGACGTCGGAGCTCTTGGGAGGAGGGAGCAGGAGGGCCCCCCGCTCCCCAGGCACCCCCTGTAGTCCGACTTGCCAAGCGAAATTCGGCCAGGCTGGATTCGGCCGGCCGACCTCGGCCAGGCTGCACTCGTCCCGGGCCAAATCCAACCTGGCAGAGCGCAGCCTGGCCGAGGTTGGCCGGCCGAGGTCAGCCGGCAGAGGTCAGCCTTGCCGAGCCTGTCCTGCCCCAGGGAGGGGCCAGGACCTCCAGAGCACGTTCGAGGGGTTCCCCCGCCACTGCAGCGACTTGACCTCGGGCGCACACCCGCTCCCGCCGCGCCCGCGCCGCTCCCGGCGATCGGGCGCGGGCGTCGGGAGCTCGAGCTCGCAGGCGGCCGTGCGGCACGAGGAGAGCGAAGCGGGGAACGGGACACGATGGGCACCACGCCAATGGAAGAGGAAACGAACAAGCGAGTTGTTCGGAAGAGTCGGAAGGCGGGGAGGAGGCCGCACGGCGCACCCGTCCCCCCTGGGCACGCCAGCCTGCCGAACTCAATGTCGGCGACAGGTGCGGCGTGAGGAGGAGGGGCAGGAGGCGGAGGGGTAGGATGGCGCAAGAAGCAGCTCTGCCCCTGCAAGCCCTCGCGGCTCCTACAAGCCCTCGCGGGCCCCTGATTTTCCAACATGTCTGCTGGCCCTTCTCTGGGTCATGGCAACTCATGTGGCAAGCTTAACTCTTTTGTTACTCAGGCTTCTTCACAGCACAACAGTCGGTACTTTATGCTTCCTTTGTTGCCACATCGTTGACGCTACGGTTCATCCCACCAAAGTCGGAACACAAAGACGTCAAAAGGGAGGACGCATGCCGCGGGCCGGGAATCAAGGCCCGTAGGCCTCCAGAGACCCGTAAAGGACCAACAACGCTCAACAGCTCGATCGTCATCCTCGATCCTCGATCCGCGAACCTTTCCTCGACATCCACTCCTCCCTACGCGCTCGATTCCTGGACCTCCCCTGAGATGCTTCCTGACCAAACACTCGAGACGGATCCAGCCGTCGCGCGATGAGGAAATCGACGACCACGACGACGACGACGACGACAACGACGGTGACGGCGACACTCGGGCTGGATCTGGCGATGAAGAAGCCCACACGTACCTCGATGTCGACCACGACAGCGACGACGACGGCGACACTCGAGGCGAATCCAGTCGTCGCGCGATGATGAGTCCAGAAATGAGCCGGCCGAAGGGCCCAATATCTGCAGCTGTGAATACCGCAGCAAACCAGAGGAGGGGGCTAGCAAAAGGCCAAAATCGTGCGTGAGAATGACGGAGCGACGTTGCTGATAGAATGCAGAGGTCGGCCGTAACGGCGTACATAACCCGTTATGGCTAATCTGCTCGTCTGTAGGCGCGGCTCTGGGGAGCAGCAGGCGGCGGGGTCGTTGGTAGAGCTCCCCATGGGGCTACGAAGCGAGTGAGAAGTGTCGCTAATGGGTGCGTTCACGCGATTCCTGCCACGGGGGCCTTCGGTGGATGGAGCTCACGATGGGGCCGCGAATGGTGCGAGGGGTGTGCCGAAATGGACATGGTCATGCATGAGATCCCTGCCACAAGGGCCTTCGGTGAAGCTCTTTCTGGGGCTACGAAACGTGCGAGAGGCGTTCCACAATAAGCGCTGCCACGCATGCAGTTCCTCTGGGGCCTTCGGTGGTGCTCCCGATGGAGTCGCGAAACGTGTGAGGAGTGTGCCGACATAGGTGCGGTCACGCATGCGATTCCTGCCACGGGGATTTCGATGGAGCTCCGTATGGGGCCACGATCCTCGTGAGTGGTGTACTCAAATGGGCGCGGCCACACGATTTTTGCAACTGGGGCCTTTAAAGAGCTCCCTGGGGAACCACGAAGCGTGTGAGGGTGTGTCCGATTGGGCGCGCCCGTCACACAAGCGAGTCTTGCCACTGGGGTCTCGTGTGAGTGGTGTGCCCAAACGGGCGCGGTCACGCAGGCGATTCCTGCCACTGAGGCATTCGGTGGAGCTCCCTATGGGGCAACGAAGCGTGTGAAGGGTGTGCCCAAACGGGCGCGGTCACGTATGCGATTCCTACCACTGGGACATTCGGTGGTGCCGCCTGTGGGGCCAGGAAACGCGTGAGGGGTGTGCCCAAGTGGGCGCGGTCACGCATACGATTGCTGCCACTGGGACCTTCGGTGGCGCCCCCCATGGGGCCAAGAAGCGTGCGAGGTGTGTGCCCAAACGGGCGCGGACACGCATGCGATTCCTGACACTGGAGTCCTCGGTTGAGCTCACAAGAGGAATGAGTGGCGCTGCTGATTCGAAACAATGACCGAACACCACAGATTGGCAGGGAAAAATCCGATGACGACAACGAATACGAATACGACGACGACGAAAACGACGAAGACGACGACGATCACGACGACGACGACGGCAACGACGACGACGATGACGACGACACGCGAGGATCCAGCCGTCGCGCGATGAGGAAGCCTAGACCGACCCCGACGACAAAGACGCAGATAACGACGACATAGGCCTCCCAAGCGAAGTCGGAGCAGAAGGGGTCGGAAGACCGCGCCGCATCGCCGATGCATCGGCGACGTCGGCGTGGAGAACATCGGGCTCCACGTCGCGCCGCATTGCCGATGCATCGGCGATGCAGCGCGATCCTCCGACCCATTGGGGAGACATGGTTTTCGGGCCACAGATTCGGTTCTCCGGCTGCCGTTCGGGACGACCTGGGCACCCCCATAGCGCCCTCGGCGAGGCGCAGCTGCCGGAACGCACCTCGAGGCTGAAGAAACCGCCGAGAACCTGCGAAAATGCCCCCAACCTCGAATCTCGACCCCAACAAATTATGCTTCGGCTCCATTTTCTGAAGGCCTGGGGGCGACGACGTCACGACGACTGCGACGAGGAGGTGGTGAGTCGAACCGCAAAGCCCTGGCGGGGAGCCGCGGAGGCGGCCCCGCCGGCAGCCGGCCAGGCACGCATCGAAGGCGCAGAGGTGCCCGAGGGCGCGCGGTCCCTGGGACTTCGGCTCCCCCGGGTGCTGCCCCAGAGATGCCCGCGTCGTGAGGGCCATCCACAGAAGAAGGCCGATGGAGGTAACGGCAATCGACCTTCGGGGGGCCTCCTTGTCACCACGGCTCGACGCAGCTCAGAAAAGTGGATCCGGGGAGGGGTCTGGAGATCGATTTTGAGCTGCCGGCTTCAAGAGAGAAGTCTCAGAGGTCTGGACCCAGACATGCTCCCGTCGTGGACAAATCACGGAGGGAGGTTTTTGGCCGTTTTCGGCCTCCGCGGGCCCTCGCCGGGCCCAGGGACAACAATTACGCTACCGAGGAACCCCACATACTTTTAATATTATGTCTGGAATGATGATAGCTGAAATGAAACATGCAAGAATGATGCTGGTGGCCGTTGCCCCGCGAAACCCCTCCGGTGTCGACAAAATGGTACCCCTGCCACTCTTTAGGCGCCTGGACCGTGTAGAAACCGCCCCCTGCGCACCCCCTCTGGTGTCGAGAAACTGCCACCCCTGCCACACTTTCCGAGCCTGGACCGACTAGAGACCGCGCTCAGGGACCACCCCCTGCGCACCCCCTCTGGTGTCAAGAAACTGCCACCCCTGCCACACTTTTCGAGCCTGGACCGTGTAGAGACCGCGGTGAGAGACTACCCCCTGCGCAGCCCCTCTGGTGTTGAGGAAGTGCCACGCCTGCTATGCTCTGGACGAGAGGCGCGCACAGCGACCGCGGTGAGAGACCACCCCCGTGCGCACCCTTTCTGGTGTCGAGAACGTGCCACGCCTGCTATGCCCTGGGCGAGAGGCGCGCATAGCGGCCGCGGTGAGAGACCGCCCCCCTGCGCACCCTGTCTGGTGTCGAGAAAGTGCCACGCTTGCGATGCCCTGGACGAGAGGCGCGCGTAGCGGCCGCGGTGAGAGACACCCCTCTGCGCACCTTTTCTGGTGTCGAGAAAGTTCCACGCCAGCGGTGCCTGGACGAGAGGCGCGCGTAGCGGCCGCGGTGAGAGACCACCCCCCGCGCACCCCCTCTGGTGTCGAGAAGGCGCCAAGCCTGCTATGCCCTGGACGAGAAGCGCGCATAGCGGCTGCGGTGAGAGACCACCCCCTGCGCACCCCTTGTGGTGTCGAGAAGGTGCCACGCCTGCGATGCCCTGGACGAGAGGCGCGCATAGCGGCCGCGGTGAGTGAGAGACCATCTCCTGCGCACCCCTTCTGGTGTCGAGAAAGTGCCACGCCTGCTATGTCTCTGGACGTGAGGCGCGCGTAGCGGCCGCGGTGAGGGATCCCCCCCTTGCGCACCCCCTATGGTGTAGAGAAGGTGCCACGCCTGCTATGCCCTGGACGAGTGAGAGACCACCACCTGCGCAGCGCCTCTGATGTCGAGAAAGTGCCATAGCTGCGGTGCCTGGACGAGAGGCGCGCTTAGCGGCCGCGGTGAGAGACCACCCCCTGCGCACCCCCTCTGGTGTCGAGGAAATGCCACGCCTGCTATGCCCTGGACGAGAGGCGCGCACAGCGACCGCGGTGAGAGACCACCCCCGTGCGCACCCTTTCTGGTGTCGAGAACGTGCCACGCCTGCCATGCCCTGGGCGAGAGGCGCGCACAGCGGCCGCGGTGAGAGACCACCCCCTGCGCACCTCTTGTGGTGGCGAGGCGTCTGCTTCTGATGCGGGGTTCCTGCCACGCCGTTCGAATCTTGCGCGGATGTGTTGTGTGGTGTGCGTGTCAAGTGTGTGATGCGTGTGCGGCTGCATCTGAACGTGTGTCTCATGTGGGTGCTCACAATGTGGCGCATACGTCGTGGGCGTATGATGCAGTGAAGACGCCAGGCGTGCACTAGCGGTGTCGCGGCGACCCCATGAAAGCTGTATGTACACGCGTGTCTCATGTACATGGTGTCCATGTCTTGCGCGTGGGTGAGAGAGGAGGGAGGAGGAGGGGAGGAGTGAGACGCGGGTACGACGCGGCAAGGAAGAAAACCATGACCCCACGAAACATGTGGGTAAAAACAAGCCTGGCATGAACCGACGGCCCTGCAAGGTCGGGACTTCCGGGGGCCCCGTCTATTGAACAAATCGTGACATCCGATGGATCCAGCCGTGGCGACCCGAAGTCCAGGAAGACCCCCAAAGACTTGCCAAAACCCTCACTCATCGATCCCCCTCCAAAACGGGCCTCCGAGGCAAAGCTTGAAAATCCGGTCGCGCTTCGTTGTGACGCTGGAGAACGTTTCAGAGCCTCGAACCTCGAAAGGCGTCGGGATTCTGGGTCCTCGCTCCGTGGTCCCCCGGGGGCAGCGCGAGTGCGAGCTTCTGCGGCCTCTGGGTCAGGACGTTGTGTCAGGTTATCTCCGAACCTCGGTGCGAACTCTGCTCAGAACTCACCCCTCCAGCGCGCGTAGACCCCCTTCCAAATCTACTCCTGGACCTCCCCCGGGGTGCGCTTGGACTAGATGGTTTGTTGCAAAGACCCTGCCGTGGCGACGAGGCCGCCCCAGGAAGCCCGGGATGACACCAAACGGATCACGAAAGCTTCAAACATCGATGCCCATCCTCCTGGTCTTCTCCCCACTCCCTCAACAATCATCCAAGGGCTCCTAGTCGGAAATAACATAAAACAACCGACCGTCTCGATGTGTTCCCATGGTTGTTCCGTCAAGGCATCGGTCAAGGGGTACACTTTGACAACAACTTCGAGTTGGACGCAGCCGTGGCCACAGAAATGCCCTGAAACAAGAACAAAATGGCAACGACAACCCCAATCGACGATTCTCGGTCCAAAGTGTCGCTCCTGATCCACCCCTTGTGGACTCAGACATCCGACGACATGATGCGTTTCCATGAACAGCCAAAGGAAGCAACGATCCCTTGTCCGCGGGTAGTTGTTCGTGCCGGGATCCATTTTTGGCCCCCATGCTGCGGAGGCCGAACTCGAGGAGAAATGCCCAAATTGCAAAGACCACATCGTCGGAGATCTGGGCCTCGCGATCGCGCAGAGAGCATACGGCCGTCGCGGTGTTTCTGCTCTGGCGGCGCCCGGATCCCAAAGGGGGCCCTGCGTATCCTGGAGAGCAGCGCAGGTTTTTCGGAGCTCCCGCGACGTGCAACATTTTTCAGTGCTCCCTCTCCCGAGAAGCGAAGGATAAGTGAGCCACATGCGCGGAGTAGCGTCTGCGCGGCGGCCACGCCCCCCACGCACCCAGACACTGGAAGGCATCCCATGCGCGCGACAGCGTCCAAGAAACAGTCAGCAAGCGCCCAGGAAACTCCGACGAGGCTTCAAGACACCCACCAGGACACCCACAAGGCCTCACTTCGTCTGGGGTCGGCGGAATGGCGTAAGCCTCTTGAGCAGCCCAAGCATCAAAATCTTAGAACATTAAACCGATTGGTTCAAACAAGACTGGCTGACTTAAATATGTTCTAAGAAGTTGTCGCGCAAACCACAAAAGAATATGTTAGAACATTCTTTGGCTGGCCAAAAAGCAAGTCGGGACGCTTCGCCACTGCATGATCGTCGGAGATACCGGGAGACAGGACGCTGCATTCTTCGGGAGACCTTGTCTGTCCGATAGCGCAGCGATCCGCGCTGAACCCGAGTCAAATCAACGTCGACGCGACGAACCGTCGCCGCTCTCGCGCCGAACACACGTCGGAGTACAAGAAAATACCGCGATTCAAAACGACAGCCAAGGCCCCCCGAGGATGCGAAGCAGCGCCGCAAGTCCCTCCAGCGCGGCTCCGAAGGCGGCGCACATGAAGAAAAAACAAAAGGTACCGATACCGCTACTCCCCAGACTTTCCCCTGGGTGCGTCCCGACGAGAATTTGGAAGCGAATCCAGCGGTGGCGACGAGGGCCTCCCGGGAGGCCACGAAAGGGGCAGACGAGGGAAGGGTAACGGTATCGGTACCTCTTCCTCTGAGCGAGCCCAGGGTCCCGGCGGGCAGCCGGTCCGAATTCCCCAGCAGCACGTCGAGCACGAAGAGGTGCCCGAGGGCGCGCGCGGAGCCCGGGAGCCGCTCCGGCTCCCACGCGCGCTGCTCCTCGCGGGGGTTGCAAGCCTCGAGGTTCCAGGGTCGAGGGTCGAAGGTCGCGGGGATTGCCCTCGAGGTTCCAGGGTCGAGGTTCAAATGAGAACGGCGCCCATGTACCGTGCTATGCTTGGACTACCTGCAGGCCCCGCTCCGACGCGGTGCGGTGGATGGCAATTCGGCTCCAAGGGGGCGAGGAGCGATGCATCGCACACTTTCTGGGCCGAGGATCGACGACGCCTTGGGAGACGCCATCGCGGCACGGTGCACACAAGTCGTCCGCAGGCCGAGGTTAGGAAGCAACTTCTGGGAGGTCTTCGCGAGACAGACTATCGAGGCTACCCTTTCTTGGCCAACACATGACATGCCAACTCCACTGCTCGCGGGATCATCCCACCCTCCCACCCGCTTGTTTATTGGCAACACCCACGCGTACCGATGGGAACTTCACAGCACGTCTCAAAGGCCGCACTGGCGCGCGGGCACTTCTGTGTGGGTCGGTGACTTGAGCGTTCGCAGTGTCAGGATGACGTCGGCAACGGCGACACAGATGATGATAGTATCAAACGATGGTCTTGGCGATGGTCATTGATGACGTGGTTGATGCTGATAATGAGGCTGATGCTGCTGATGATGATGATTATGATCATGCTGATGGATGGTGACGATGATGATGGTGGCCTTGATGATGATTGCGATTGTGACGACAGTGATGATGCTGATTATGATGGTGATGGTGGTGGTAATGATGATGACTATGTTAATGTTGATGATGATGCTGATGACGATGATGATGATGATAATGATGAGGAGGAGGAGGAGGACGAGGATGTTGAGGATGATGATGTTGATGATAGTGATGGTGATGACGGCACGGCCAATGACGGAACCGATGCTGATGACGACGATGACGATCATGATGTCCATGTGTCGGTGATGAAGGTGATTGTGCTGATGATGGCGGCAATGGTGTCGATTGGCGATGATGATGATGATGATGATGATGATGATGATGATGATGATGATGATGATGATGACGGCGGTGATGCGATAGCGCTGATGAGGGTAAGGTGGAGGAAGTGCGCGCGCAGAAATCTAGGAGACCTGGTAAACAGTTTCTTTGAAAACACGTGGCTCCCCATATGTCTTTGACGAGCTCTACCCTAAGATGCTTGTGAGCTCACTATGGTTGTTCATTTGGCGTGGGACAGTTGTCACGCTCGCGCGGCTGCGCGCGCGTGTGGCCCGCATGGTATGAATTCATATGAGTTCGTGCATTGGGCACACGCAAGACCAACGCAGATGCACCGCGTGGTGAAATGAGGTTGCGAGTTCTGGACGACATTCCTGAAATCACCTTGTTCTCTTACAAGATCAACATGCGCGCGGGCAGGTAATCACCCAGATGTATGATGAAACACCTATGACCAATGGGAGTGTTGGGTATGTATCTTGGAATGCGCTTGTTGTTGGTGTGATGGCAATGTGTGTGCGTGCGAGCGTCAGCTATCGGATCTTATTTGCAATGGTGCTCTGTAACATAATATATTGGGGTAAACGCATGTCACCGCATATGAACTGACTGGTTTGAGTAGGGGGGAGATAATGGCCTGGATGAGACAAATTCACAATGAACGATGGGGCAGAATACAATGGTGAACCAACAAATGCGGGCTGGGGAGGGCGGTACAGTCGGAAATGTTGAAAGGGGAGAACAAAACCCGATGGATGAGCCCAGATGGTTTGAGCCCAGACGAAGCCCAGGACCGAGCCCAGACTTACCCCGATGAAGTGGGACTGAGCGGAATTAGGAGGAAGTGCTCCAAATCAGGAAAATTGTCGACAACGGCTGTGGCAGCGCCGATGCTGAGTGATCTCCCAAGAATTGGATCCTAAGGGTTCAGGGGTTCGGAGGCCCCCACGGCCTCCAGGGCGCCCCTCACGAGGCCCAGAGGGCCCAAGGGGCTCCAAAGAGGAGCGAGAAGCTGGGGACACTTGTAGGCCAGGAGCTCCTGCAGCCACCCCGAATCCTCGAGGGGCCCAGGCGGAAGGTCGAACATATCGAGGGTCGAGGTGGCTCGACAAACTCGAGGATCGAGGAGCCCAGGCCTCGAAGTTCGAGGATCGACCTTAGGAAGCAACTTCTGGGAAGTCTCCGTGAGACAACCTATACAAGATATAAAGCCCGATGGATAGGCCATTAAGCAGGCCGGATTCGCCCTGATGAAACCCAGGGTCAAGCCCACATTCGCCCCGATGCTGCGGAACCGAGCGGAAGAAGGCTCGCTTTTGGCAGACGAGGTAAATTTTCGACCACGGATGCGCCAGCGCGGATGCTGAATTGAACCTCCCCGGAGGTACATGCACAGAGGCGGCGCAGACGGCCTCCAGGGCGCGCCTCACGAAGCGCGAGGGCACCAGGGGCTCCCGAGTGGCGCGGAAATCTGATCACACCCTCTGGGCAGGGGGTCCTCCGCCCCCCCCCCCCCCGACTCTCGAGGAGCTCGGGCCCCGGGGCCCGGGCCCCAAGGTTCGAGGACCGAGGGTCGTCCGAGGATCGACGACTTCGAGGATCGAAGGTCGATCGGTCGAGGACATCGCGACGGCTCAACGCCGAAGGATCGACGACTCTGAGAGTCGCCCCCGACTCCGAAAAACGCACTCGATCAGGATTGACAGAGAAAACGCGGCAATCTTACAGATCAATAAAACGGTCATTCAATAGAACTGGGCCAGCTTCCCGCGTCCCGAAAGCTTCTTCAAAACTTGTTCCCAACCCTCCTTGGTCGGGTATTCGTGTTGAGTAGAGCAAAGCGGTCGCGTCTCCTCCTCCTCCTCCTCCTCCTCCTCTCCTCCTCCTCCTCCTCCTCCCCCTCCTCTTCTTCCTCCTCCTCCTCCTCCTCCTCCTCCTCCTCCTCCTCCTCCTCCTCCTCCTCCCGCCTCCCGCCTTCTGCGTACCTATTGGGTGTGCATCTTGCCTGCGGTACTTCTTGTGTGATCATCTTGCCTGGGGGCTGCGATTCGCGAAACCGTGGCCACTTTCGAGGGCTAAATTAGACCTCGCCATCCCTGGGGGGCTACGACTCGCGAAACTGTCGCCACGTTCGAGGGCTGCAGGTGGGGACAGCATAATGGGTAGCCGCCGCCGACACAAAGTAGACCTCGCCATCCCTGGGGGGCTGCGATTTGCGAAACCATCGCCACTTTCGAGGGCTGTTAGGGGGGACAGTATAATGGGTAGCTGCCGCGGGCTCCAATTAGACCTCGTCATAACCTGGGGGGATGCGATTTGCGAAACCGTCGCCACTTTCGAGGGCTGCTGGGTGGGGCAGCATGGCTCGCCATCCCTAGGGGGCAGCGATTTGCGAAACCGTCGCCACTTTCGAAGGCTGCTGGGGGGGACAGCACAGTGGGCAGCCGCCGCGGACCCAACGTAGACCTCGCCATCCCTGGGAGGCTGCGATTTGCGAAACCGTCGCCACTTTCGAGGGCTGCTGGGGGGGACAGCATAGCGGGCAGCCGCCGCGGACCCAAAGTAGACCTCGCCATCCCTGGGGGGCTGCGATTTGCGAAACCGTCGCCACGTTCGAGGGCTTTGGGGGGGACAGCATAGTGGGTAGCTGCCGCGGACCCAAAGTGGACTTCGTTTCTACTGGGGGGATGCGATTTGCGAAAACGTCGCCACTTTCGAAGGCTGCTGGGGGGGACAGCGAAGCGGAACCAAATTAGACCTCGCCATCCCTGGGGGGGGGGGGCTGCGATTCGCGAAACTGTCGCCACTGTCGATAGCTGCTGGAGGGGACGGCATGGTGGGTAGCCGCCGCTGACCCAAATTAGACCTCGTCATAACCTGAGGGGGCTGCGATTTGCCAAACTGTCGCCACATTCGAGGGCTTCAGGGGGGGCAGCATAGTGGGTAGCCGCCGCGGGCTCAAACTAGACCTCGCCATCCGTAGGGGGGCCTGCGATATGCGAAAATATCGCCACTTTCGAGGGCTGCTCGGGAGGACATCATAATGGGTAGCCGCCGCGGACCCAAATCAGACATCGCCATCCCTGGAGGGGGGCTGCGATTTGCGAAACTGTCGCCACTTTTGAGGGCTGATGGGGGGACAGCATAGCGGGCAGCCGCCGCAGATACACATCAGACCTCGCCATCCCTGGGGGGCAGCGATTTGCGACACCGTCGCCACGTTCGAGGGCTGTTGGGGGGACAGCATCGTGGGTAGCCGCCGCAGATCCACATTAGACCTCGCAACTCCTGGGTGGCTGCGATTTGGAAACCGTCGCCACGTTCGAGGGCTGCTAGGGGGGCAGCATAGTGGTTGGTAGCCGCCGCAAATCCAAATTAGACATCGCCATCCCTGGGGGGCTGCGATTTTCGAAAACGTCGCCACGTTCGAGGGCTGCTTGGGGGGCCAGCTATAGTGGCTAGCCGCCGCAGATCCACATTTGACCTCGTCATAACCTGGGGTGCCGCGATTTGCGCAACCGTCGCCACTTTCGAAGGCTGCTTTGGGGGTCAGCTAAAGTGGCTAGCCGCCGCAGATCCACATTAGACCTCGCCATCCCGGGGGGGGCAGCGATTTGCGAAACCGTCGCCACGTTCGAGGGCTGCTTGGGGAGGACAGCATAGTGGGTAGCCGCCGCAGATACACATCAGACCTCGCCATCCCTGGGGGGTGGCTGCGGTTTGCGAAACTGTCGCCACTTTCGAGGGCTGCTTGGGGGGCCAGCTATAGTGGGTAGCCGCCGCAGATCCACATCAGACCTCGTCATAACCTGGGGGGCTGTGATTTGGGAAACTGTCGCCACTTTCGAGGGCTGCTTGGGGGGCCAGCATAGCGATCTGCGAAACTGTAACCACTTTCGAGGGCTGCTGGTGGATCAAGCGGACTGAGGCACCGCGCAGATCTGAGCGAAACCTCGCCGTCCCTGGGGGACTGCGATCTGCGAAACCGTCGCCACTTTCAAGGGCTGCTGGCGGGTTCAGCGGAATGAGGCACCGCGCAGATCTGAGCGTGACCTCGCCGTCCTTGGGGGGCTGCGATCTGCGAAACCGTCGCTACTTTAGAAGGCTGGTGGCGGGTCTAGCGGAGTGAGGCACCACGCAGATCTGAGCGGGACCTCGCAATCCCTGGGGGGCTGCGAGCCTCACGAATGCCGCTCGCAGAAGTATATGCGCCCATGTCACGTCATCACCTCCCTATAACGTCTCCAAAGCTACTCATGCCTCGCTTTGCGCAGGGGTTGGTACGTCGCCAGGGTAATTTGCGCACGCTGAGGGGCGAATGTGCTTCTAAAGCTGGGCCAGGTTTACAGCAATTTGATTAAGAAAAGCTGACTCAGCTTTTCGGGAGGACGTGTCTTGATCATAGCTCGACCGTATTTCCGGTGCTCTCGGCATCCGGGGAGGCCCAGATCTCTGGCGATATGCTTTCTCAATATGGGCGTTTCTCCTCGATCTCAGCCCCCCTCGTTCTCGCGTACCCATGGGGCGATCAGAAGTGGATCCGGGGCGAAAGCTGCAGGGACCGGATCGGACCTCCGGGGCGGGGAGAAGCTCGAACCTCCACCCCCGCGCTCCAAGCGCTCACAGAAGGCGCTCTTTCGGACCTCCTGGGGCTGCGGATTCACAACAGCACGTCGGCGGACGTCGGGGGGCCGGCAGCACGGCCCCCAGGAGCCATCGAAACGACTCCGGGTCAAAAGGCTGGCCGTGGGGAAGGGGTCAGGAAGGGGTCAAGATTCACGGGGGCCCGCGTCACGAACAATAATGCAACTTCGAAGGAGAGGGACAGGATAAGGGGGAAGATCGAGGATCGAGTCTCGGGGGAGCGAAGGCGCGGATCACGAGGGGGGCTCCAGCGCCTTCCCCCCCGCGCGGGCCCCAGATCTGGGGAAAGATTAAAGCGCTCCGTCGGCTGGCTCATCGAAGACTGCAGCGTTGCACCGCTTTCGCTCCACAGTACCGTCACTGGTAGCTGGCGACGCCAGACTTCTGCAAGAAGATGCCGCGCGACTATATCATGCACGTGTGTACGAGTGCCCGGACCGAGATAGATCAATAAGCCAACCATCTCAAGTGAGAGAACCCGCGGTCGCCGCACGCCTCGTGCGCACGTCAATTTCAAGAATACTTGACGCCTGAGTATGGCAAAACCGTCTAATCGCGCAGGCCTTGACCAGGAAGGGCTGCCGGCTCAAGATAACGAGACTCGTGGGTAGGTGGAGGAGCGCACGCAGCTGGGCAGGGAGGTGGAAGAAGAGGGGTGGTAACAGTAATACGAGAAACAGCAGAAAGACTGGGAAATGAGGCGGCAAGGAGGTAGAAAAACAAGACATGGGACGAACATGAGCCTTTGGAGCACCGCGCAGATCTCTTGGAGCGGCGCCAGAGGCGCCGCCAGGGGGGGCCAAGCGCCGATCCAAGAAACCCGCGCGGACATTCAACCGCGGGGTCTACATCATACGTCCTTAGGCCTTAAGGACGCTGGGGGGCCATCCTGGCTCATTTCTTGAAGCGCACCCAGCCGTGGCGACGAGAGGCCTCCTCGAGGACAACAGCGGAGGAACAACACCAGGGTGTGGGCCGCCGTCACCCCGACTGGCCCTCCTCCGAGATCGGGAGGACGAGCGTCCCCACAAAAGGGGTCTCCTGCGCCAGGCTCCGCCCCCGCACGAACTGCATCGCCAACACCGCCTGGCACTGCCTCCGCGACAGCGCGCGGGCAAGCGGCGGACACAGGGCCCGTGAAGCCTCCGCGAGCTGCTCCCACTCCGGCCCGTCGTGCTGCCTGTCTTCGGCGCGGAGTGGGGGGCGGGGGGCAGCCAGAGAGCGGAGAGCTCGAAGCCTCCCAGACGGAGTCGCGCCACATCGGCGACGCATCAGCGATGCGCCGGCGACGTCGGCGTTGCATCTGCGACGTCGGGGTGAAGACGATCGGGCTCCACATCAAGCCGCATCGCCGATGCATCGCCGATGCGGCGCGCTCCTCCGACCCCATCTGATCGGACCCCACCTGGGAGGCCTAGAGGAGTAAGCCCCCCGATCTCCAATCGGGGGTTGTTTCTCGGTTTCGGGCCTCTGGGGGCCGTTGTTGGGCCCCGAAGCATAACAAATTGATATGGGGCGGAAAACTGCACTCGAGGACTGGATCGGGACCTCTGCGGCCTGTCTTCCGTGGAGGTTACCGCACGGTCTGCCAACGTACCGTTTTGGGACCCCCACAAATTCTGGCCACCGCCGTCCCTGCCCCCATCATCGTAGGAACTACAGGGAACGGCGGTTCGAGGGCGGACCCCGCCATGCTATTGCGCACATGCGGGCGATGACCAGTATACCAGACACCTACCCGCCATCAGGGACGCCTGTCCCAGGGCGGCTGGAAAGGTTATACACCTACGGTGTCACGTTAGGGTGCCGCCCTTGGGCAGGCGCCCCCGATGGCGGAACAAATCATGCCAGATCGTTCTTCGACCACTAATACACGGTGAGCTCACACGGCATGGTGTTGTTGGGGCACGCGTAGCATTGAAGCTGAACGCCCTCACCACACTAATCCAATGTGAAATTTATGAAAAAAAACTACCGCACGGTCCGTCACCGCACGGTGGTAGGACCGGACCTCGGAGGCCCCAGTTGCCCGAGACATCCTTGGAGACCGCCCCACGTCCCAGAATCCTGCGGTCACCACGACTTCCCACTGGCTCACCACACGGTGTCGTCACCACACCGTCTGGGGCCCCCCGAGTGTCTGCGCTCTCCGTGTGCTTCCTCTCCACTCCCGAGGTGGGTGCTTGGCGCGCGGTGTTCGGAGTCCACTTGTCTCAGGCTTCCCCCTGCTTGTTGTTTCGCTGTTTCGCTTCCAATGGAGCTCTGAGGCCTCAGGATGGCCCCAAGATCGCCCAAGACAGCCCAATGAGAGGCCAAGAAGTGCTCGAAGATGACCCCGCACCAACTTGGCCAAGAGCATCCAAGGAGAGATTCAAGAGGCAATTTGTCGTGCTTCAGAGGGGCAGCACTAATCGGCGCCGCTCTCTTTTCTGGTCGAGACGCATTGTTCGTAGACATTGTGTCTGATACGCAGACTGATTTATTGTGTGGTGTGAGAGCCCACAGGGCGTCCTCCCTCCTCTACCTTCTTCCTCTCCGCATTATCCCACTTTTCCTCATCCTCCTCGTCCGACCACTGCGTGCTCGGACGATCCCCTGACCAGGGCAAATCTCCTGGCGATCGTTTCTGCATGGGCTGGTGGACGTGGACGAAGCGCCAAACATTGTAACACAACGGTTCCTGTTCCTCCTGCTCCTCCTCACTGATCGGATCCCTGTTTCTCTTCCTCACCGATGCCTCCTCCTCCTCCGCATTATCCTCCTCCTCCTACTCCTCCTCCTCATCATCATCACCACCAGCACCAGCACCAGCACCATCACCATCAGCATCACCATCACCATCACCATCACCATCACCATCACCACCACCATCATCATCATCATCATCATCATCATCATCATCATCAGCATCAGCATCATCATCATCATCATCATCATCATCATCATCATCATCATCATCATCATCATCATCATCATCATCATCATCATCATCATCATCATCATCATCATCATCCTCATCCTCATCCTCATCCTCATCCTCATCATCATCAGTCATCACCATCACATCATCACCATCACCATCATCATCATCATCATCATCATCATCATCATCATCATCATCATCATCATCATCATCATCATCATCACCATCACCATCAACATCAACATCAACATCAACATCATCATCCCTCCTCGCTCCTCCTCCTCCTCATCGTCCTCCTCGTCCTCCTCCTCATCCTTCTCCTCTCCCCCCTCCTCACTCTTCTCCTCCCTCCTCCTGCCTCCTCCGTCCCTGTAAATCTTCTGCTCGCTGCAGCGCCGCACTCTGCTGACAGGCCATTGGTTTCATCAGTGCGGCAATCCAAAAGAATCTCCCTCCTCCTCCCTCCTCCTGCACTGCTGCACCCTCCCTCCCTCCCTCCCTCCACCGTGGGCCGATAGGAACAGGCGGGCCCACAAGCAGGCCTGGAACCCACCAGCTCAGGCCCACCACCCGAAGAGAGGGCAACTGGTGCGCCCTCCACCCGCACTCTTCCCCCCCCTGGGTCCCCTGCCTCCCTCCGCCCCCCCTCCTCCAGCATGCAGCTGGCGCGGAGGTCAAGCACGACCCTCGGCCGAACCTGCGTCCTGGATCCTCGATCGATCCTCGGCCCTCGATCGAACCTCGATTCTCGATCCTCGATCCTCGATCGATCCTCGGTCCCTGCCCCTCCGGCGCCTCAGCAGCAGCCGAGACGCCGGCCCCCCGATCTCCAGCTGCCGCGCCAGCTCGGCCGCCATCTGCTCCTTCGCCCCGCGGGCGCCAGGGAGGGAGAATTTGATCTCGCTCCAAGGCGGTGGAACGGCTCGCTGCCAGGTGGGACTCCCAGGTAGTCCTGGCTGGCCTCGACGAACCCCCCTGCCTCTAGTGCCAGCCGGCCTCGACGAACCCCCGACAGTAGGCCAGCCGGCCTCAACACTCCGGCGCCGCCCGCGCCCCAGGGTCGAGGTGCTGAGACCGCCCTGGACAACTCGGGGGGCCAGTTGAGGCCGGCTGGCACTAGTCGGGGGGCTCTTTAAGGCCAGCTGGGACGATCGGGGGGGCTTGTCTATGCGAGGCCCGAGGATATTAGAATTCCCCGGTGGAACGGTTCGCTTCCGCGGCGCGGATTCCACAGAATTCCTGGCCTCCCCTGCCAGGAGCCTACGAGGAGCCTACGAGGAGCCTCTGCCGTGAGACCCGAGGGCTCACAGTCGCGGCCTCTGCCCGAGTCGCGGGGCCGGCGAAGGGCAGGACACTCATGCCCACGTCGGTCGCTCGTGCCTGAGAGAGCTGCGTGCTCTTGGACGCCGAGCGCGGCTCCCAAGAGGCTTGCAAACCACATCGAAGGGCAGGGCACCCGTGCCCACGTCGGGGGCGCGTGCCGTCTCCTTCGAGGGGGCAGCCTGGCGAGAGGGCGGGCGGGCTCCGACTGCAGGCAGGCACCTAGGATAGGAGACCTTGCCGCAAGAGGCCATGAGATCCTGGCGTCGCAGTCTTCCACCCTGGCATCCCAAGAGTTTCCCCCGCCGCTGCTTGACCGCCGCTTGACTCCCTCAAGCTTGCTGATCAAAAAAGCCGCCCGTGTTCGGGCCCGGGGACCATCGCAGATCGATCTGGCTCGAAATATGCAGCAGACAAATGGGGTCTATGGTCTGTGACTCAGGCCGTGGTTTTCGCGATGCTGCAATTCTTCGCAATGTCGAATCTCAAGAACTTCTGCGCGTCACTGGGTCAATCGGGGGAAAAGAGATTTCCGTGGGGCACCTTTTGGCAGGCCAGTGTCGAATCGAAAGTGCCTGCTGCAGAAGGAGTGCGCCGATCGGTGCACCTGCTCCGATCCTGGCTGGTCCCCTTCCTGGGCCCAGCCCGCGCCTTCCTGGCTTCGCCAAGAGAGCTGGTATACACCGCGCTCGACCCCAGGCATCCGACGATACGGCTTTTCCAAGGAGCGCCCCCAAACTTCCCGACCCAATCCCCGGGTACATTTTGCATGGACCCCGGAAACGCCGGGACTGGAAAAATGAGACTGGAAAAATGAGATCGTCGGAAATCTGGGATCCCGGCCCCGGGCCTGCCAGCATATGGCGGGCTCAATAAACCCAGAACCAAAAAAACTTGTCATCCCTTGGGAAGCCCAGTCTTACTTCGGTGGCTTCCGCCAGCCTTCCGCCGGTTTCCGCCGGCGGCGGCGGCCTCGTTTTGCTTCTGCCGCCTTCCGCTGGCCTTCCGCCGAGGAACTCCTTCAATCCTTGAAAGCGAAGCCCTACCTGAACGCCCCACATCGGCGCAGGTGCGCAGCTCGTCGCGCCCCCCCCCCGATCGAGGGCCCGCAGCCACTGGCGCATGCCCCAGCTGTTGGGAAGGCAGCGAAGGGCAGGGCACGAGTGCCCACGGCCACTGCGCTCCTCGGGAGCGGCCCACGCCCTCCAGGGTGCAGGGTGGCGATCAAGACACTTCTCAGTCGCGGCGACTCGGGTCCAATACGCGGTCGGGGTAACAAAAGGACGCTTCGGGGCCAACCGAAATACAGCAGGAGCAGGAAAGGCGTGGATGGGGGAAAGGAAACCGCGGGCGGAGCACGCTCAGACCGTAAAGTTCTTGTGCGTGCGTGCTGGACGATCAAGGAACAGATACGCGGGGGGGAAGACGAAGAACATACGGTCAGGAGTTTGTGATTAGCGTGTCGCGGAGGCGGTCCCTGCGACAAGCCATGCCTTGCAAGCGGAGAACGTGTCGCTCCGCTCCGCGGGAAGCTGGGACAAGCTCGGGCCGCTGACGCCTGGGAGCTGAGACGTGATCGGCGTGTCGCGCCTAAGCAGGGTGGGCCAGAACCAGCGGAACGACACATCAAACTAAAGTTCCCGATCGCAGTTTCTGCAACAGGTGACAAGAAGGTGACGCCCACGAGCAGGCCCGGAACACAACTCATCAACCATCACCTTGGAGAGCTGGCCAACCAACCTCCCCATCATCCTCATGCACATCCCCCTCCTCCCTCCTCCTCCTCCCTCCTCCTCCTCCTCCTCCTCCTTCTCCTCCTCCTCCTGACCCCTCGCCTCGCTGCCTGCACTCGCCGCTGCGCTTGTGCGGTGGCCTGGTTTTGTAGTTTGCCGATCGCTCGATCGCCCGATCGTGCGGTGCCGTTCGCTCTCATCGCTCGAGTTCACGGGTTCACGACGAAAGAACCCAAAAGAAGAAACGAAAGGGTTGAAACAGCGCCGATGGAAAATGAGGAAAACGGAGAGGAGGGAGGACAAGAGGGAAACAGGGAGACCATGCGCCACCGACACCCTGCGCCCCAGCACAGATCCAGGCGGACGGCTCCTGCCTAGGGAGGTGCGGGGCGGGGGGAATGTCCACACTGCAAATCATTGTGTTGCGCGCTCCTGGACTAGCCGGGAAAAACAAAAACAGCCACAAAAGGACACCTTTTGCACACCTTGTCTTTTTGGATCCCCATGTCGAAGAACCTGGAAAGAGGACCAGAAACATCTTGGCTGGTGCTGCCGATTCCCACCCAAGCTATCGACCTTCCGCCACCTTCCCTCCCCTCCCCTTCGAGCAGAGCGCAGGCTGTTGCCAGGAAGTCCACTTGTGGACTTTTTGGAAAGTCAGGAGCGCGCCTCACTTGCTCCTGCTGCTGGCAGTGGGAAGACGGATGGGGTTCGCGGCGAAAGCGTCGCAGCTGAAAGATCGTGCGCGGTGTGCTGTGGCACGAAGCCGCTCGTAGACTGAATCATAACGGATCCATCCTCGTTCCCCCCCCCATAACCTCCCCCCCGTTTTTCCAACACCCATCAAGCAGTGCTGCTAGCTGTGGAAGGAAAGGAGAGGAGGAGGAGGAGGAGGAGGAGGAGGAGGAGGAGGAGGAAGAGGAAGAAGAGGAGGAGGAGGAAGAAGAGGAGGAGGAGGCGAAGGAGGAGGAGGACGAGGAAAAACACCCCCCAACAGTTGGTGACCAGCGTGGGGGCTCTTGGGACGCACGTCAACCACTCCCCATTCCTCGAAACGTCCCTACCGCTCCACTATTTGGGGTGCTGGTAGCTGGTGGCGAACAGTGCGCCGACCGCAGGACCCCAGCCTTTCAACGCGATGTGGAAGGGTGCGCTTCCCTAAGCGGGGCTCGTCGCCTCCCCATATCCTCCACCCTTTTTCCCAACCCCCGAAAACATCGCCAAAGGGCTTGCGGCTTGGCCAACACCGCAGCGCGGGATGTGGAGGAACGGGGAAGTGGGGGGGGAGAGGATCGAGGTGCGTGGGGCGGAGGGGTGGGGGGGCGGGAGGGCACGCAGCCTGCTCCCACAGGCTGCAGTCGGCACGCGTTATGCTGCCGATCTGTGGACACCAGTTGAAGATTCAAGGGGGTGCCCCTGCGCTGAGGCACTCCTTTTTGTATTCTCCCCACATTCAATCCACTGGCTGCGGAGCGGCGCGCGCGGGATGAAACATGCAACGCGCGCTACAAAATGCCGCCGGCTGAAAAAGGCAGTCGCGCAACGCAGAGAAACCACCAAACGATCAATGGCTCTCCACCAGGTCGGGCGACGATTGAACGGGGGAGAGAGCGAGGAGGGAGGGGAGGGAAACAACCTCGCGGGTGCGTAGGCCAGCCAGGGCATAGCCTGGGACACTCGTAGACTTGTCTCACACGAGCGGAGGAGGAGGAGAGGGATGAGCAAAGACACAGGGCCGACTCGGCGGCACAGCGGTTCGCCGCGCGGTGGCGAACGAATCAGACTGAGGCTCGTGTCATGCAGCGTCAAATCAGAAACTGCAGGGCCCGCGGGCGGCCGCGCGCGGCCTCCCGCAATCCCAGCAGGAGGGCATCGGAAGTCGACGAAGGCGAAGGAGTGGCGGAGGACGAGGACGTAGATGAGGGAGAAGAACTAGAACATCTCCAGATATTGTGGTTGCTGGCGTTCGAGGCGTACATAATTGCGCATGAAGCAAGGCAGTCCTGCCGAGGACGGCGCGGCTGCCCGGATTCATGACGAGTTGCACGAACTGCTGGGCGCCGCAGCGCGCGAAGTGCTCGACGCTGTCCTCCTGCGCGCGGCAGCACCGGGAGCGCGTCCGCTGCTGGAAGCGGCGGCCCGCGATGAGCCCGCTGCGCAAGATCCCGCTCGCGGCCGCCTGCACGCGGGGGGGCGCGATGTCCTGGGGGCCCTGGGCGAGGCGAACTGCGCGACCCACTCGCCGGCCAGGCAGAATCTCAATCTGCCACCTATCCAAGCGACGTTGCAGATGCTGGAAAGCTTCCCCAGCTGAAGGCGGTCGCAGGCGGTCGAAGCAGATGCGCTGCCACCCGGCCCTGATAGCGTGTTCTGGCGAAGTGTCGATGGGCCCTGAAGTCTGGCGGGTAGTCCTGGAGCGCGCTGTGGGCCCGTCGCAAGTTGTGCAAGCACGAGTTTCGAAACCAGTTGCCCCAGTGGACCGCCCTGTCAAAGGCGGCGCAGTCCACGATGGCCCTGTCGAGGTTGCGGAAGCACTCCGCGATCTCGAGCCTGCCCGCGCCCAGCGGGCTAGACTGTGAAGCCTGCCGGGTTCGTTCAGGGCGCGGTCCTCGGCTTTGCCCGCGGCGCGCGCGCAGAATGGGACAGGCGAGCCCAGGGGGCTTTCAAGTTGGCTGCGAGAGTTGTGGTGGGGGGTCGCAGGGAGGGGGCGGCGATGGGGGCGCGCGTTCGCAGCGTTGGCGCCCGCGCGTTCTACGGCCCAGATGAAGCGAAGAGCGGTGCCGAGCCTGTCCTCGCAGTCCGCGGCCTCGCGGGGCTTCTCCGGGCCGCGGCCCGCGGCGCGGCTCACCTTCTGGATTGATGCCTTGTAAGGCGGGGTCCGCTCATGGTGCGAATCGGGGTCGGCGTTGAGCTCCGAGAATTCGAGCGCCGCCCCGCGGCTGAAGTCCGGGCGCGCGCCCGCCACCCCCTGGGTGGGCCCGTCCTCAAAGCGGCGCGGCCGCGGGCGCTGCGCCTCGCGAAGACGGCGGCGCGGCGCGAAGAGAGGCGCGGGGCCAGTCGAGCACCGCGGAACCGATGTACTTGCTGAGGGCCTCTGCAGGGTGGACTTCGCAGTAGAAACGGCTTTGTCGCGACCGCGCTCTGGCCGACGCGCGCGCGACGCTGCCCTGGTACAACGCGAGGCCGACGAGGCCGAGCAAGTCCAGTCCCTCGGCGGCGTTCCGACTGCCCGAGTGGTCGCCCACGGACATTGAGACGCGGTCGCCGCTAGTCCGGCCCCTGCAGCCGCCGTCGCCGCAGCGGCTCACGAGTAGATGGGCCGAGCGACCCCGCGGCGCAAGGCAGCGCGGAGGCCGGGAAGGCAAGGCGGGGACGTGCCCGAGTAGCCAGGGAGGAAGACCCCCACGTCTTTCGCGCGCACATCGGGGCAGGCCGGGGATTGCACCACCAAGATGTCGAGGTTGCCAGGGCGGCTCTTCAAACGAGGACTGCCGCCCTCCCTGGCGCGACGACGTCGCGCTCGGCGAGGTTCGAATCATCGCGTTCCGAAAAAGATTGCTCGACCGCGACTCCCACTCCAGCGCGGGCCGTGGAATGCCACGGTGCCCGCCATGCTTGGCTGTCGCGGGGCTCTCTCGAAGATGCGTTGCCGGCCGCCGCGCCGTGCGTCTCGGCCCGCGCGCCCGCGTCGCGGTGCGACATGCGATCGGCCGCGCGCGGGCGCTTCTGCTCGCGCCTACCGAGGTCGGCAGCGGAGCGCGCGTGCGAATTACAGGAGGCCCTGCTGAAGTCGCCAACGAACGGGCCTTCTCGAGGGGCAGGCAGGGAACCTCCGGAGCAAGCGCCGACGAAGAGAGATGCAGGGCCCCGCTCAGCCGGGTGCGCCGGCGGATCTGCTCGGACAGGTCGATGCCCACCACGATCTGCGACCGGTCGCCGCGCGAAATGTTCCGCGGGGGGGAGGTGCGCCGACGAAGATCGGTCGAATTCGCGTGAATGGCGTCGCAGGCGCGACCCGGGTCGCCGCGGCGCATCATGCCAGTCGAGTCGAGGGGCGCGATGACGACGTCGATCACCGTCGCGCACCCGCACGTGCTCAGAAAACAACGAATTCCTGGGGGCGGACCCCCCTGGCGCGGCGATGCCGCTAAGGATGGCGGCCCGCCGCCCCCGCCGCCCTCCTGCCTTCTCCCGCCTCGGGTTGGTCCCTGAGGTCGTTCGCGATGGCGATGCCTATCCAGTCCGTTCCCGCCGCCAACGCCTGCCCGCGCAGCGCCGCGAAAACCCGGTCGACTTCGGATTGAGAGGCTAGGCGTAGCCGCGCCCGGCCCGCAGCGGCCGCTCTGTCGCGCGCCCGGAGGTGGGCCCGCTCGCCCTGCCTGGAGGCGCGGTCGTCGGGGGTCTCCTTGACGATCAGGAGGCTGTTCATGTCGAAGTGGTTCATGAGCTGGCGCGCGACTCCCCTCCCGTCGGGCACCAGGCCCCTGTTGATCGACATGTCGGTAACGAATTTGTCTGCGCCGCCGCTGGAGCGGGTTTCCCCTCCTTGCGCCGGGATGCCCCCGACTGCGTTACAGCGGCGGCCAGCGCGAGCCATGGTCGGCAGCCGTTGCGGGGCGGCTTCCAGCAGATGCGTGCCACCGCATCCCCTGGGGCCTCCATTAAGATCCAATGGACCTCCAACTCTCCTCTCAGCCTCCGTCAGGATGAGGGCTGCGCCCTGGCCCGCGCCGGCGCCGCCGCGCCGACTGGCCCGCGCCGACGCCGCCGCGCCGACGCCGCCACGCCGAGCAATCTTCGCCGACGCCGACGCCGAATGGCACTCCACTGTCTTCGCGCCTGGGTCGCCGCGCAGTTTGCGGTCGGCGATGTAGATCATGCTGGCGGCGGCGCCCCTCTCTCCTGAGCTGCTTCATGTCGGCCAGCTGCTCGAGTTCATAATGGCGCCCTGGAGGGGTGAATTCCGACGCCGCCCTGGGCAATTCTCTGGAGCTGCGCGGGCTCGGGCTGGGCTGGCAGGGGCCTGCGTGCCCATGGCGCCCAGCCTGCCTAAGAGATGCCCCCGTGCGCTACTCGGGAAGTCCACGACGCGCGCGCCCCTCTCCACCGGCGATCAAGAGGGCAGCGGGGATCACGAGGGCGGGGGCCAAGCGGGCTGAGCCCGCGCGCGGGGCGAAGACGCCGAGCCCCTGCCGCGCGCGACGGGGGCATTGACGCCCAGGGGGGCCATTTCAATGGGGTGGGCCACGAAGCGCCGGCAGCCGCAGATCGTTATCCAGCTCTCGCGCAAGAAGGGGCGGGTCCAGAGGCCCATGGGCCTGCCCGTGGAGCCCGTGCCCGGGGGCAGCGCGATCGGGGCGACCATGCGCAGGGCCGCCGGGAAGCGCACCTGTGGGGGCTTCATAAATTTCGCGAGCAACCGCGCGAGCGCATTGTGGTCCGAGGGCGCCCAGTGGCGGAGGCCTTGCCAACCAGTTCGGCGAGCGGCTTGCCGTCGCCCTTCCCCGCCAACTCCGCCGCAGCCCTGGCTCGCTCGATCGCGGCCTCCGCCGCGCTGCCACTGGCGATGGCGGACGCGTGCGCGAGCAGGAACTCGCTCGGGAGAAGTACCTGCCCGCGAAGGAAGCGCTTTGCATCGGTGCCAGAGCAGAAGGGCTGGGGCCTTGCACTTGCGCCGCTCGCACAACACTGCTCGCGTCCGGGCACCCCTGCGCCCGGACCCCTGCGCCCTTGTGCGGGCCCCCCCCGAACCCACGACAAGCCTGCGGCGGGGCGGCTCATGGCTGCGACGCGCAGGCCCGTGCCAGCCTGAAGCATTAGCAGACAACCTCTCCGCGCGCTGCGAAAGGAGGCCCGCAACGCGAGTGGCGGAGGGTCGAACATGGGGCGGACGCATCAGGGCAGGGGGGGGTGGGGGTGCAGTCGGACCCATCGGGCTGCAGTCGGCAAGCGTTATGCTGCAGCTCTGTGGGCCCAAAATATCGCGCGCGCGCTCCTTCTCCTTTCGAAAAATCCACCGAATCACTAAAAATGCTCTTTATGCCGGGGGAGTGTCGGTTATGTTCTTCAGCTCGTGGATCCTCTCACCATTCATGGCGAGACCCACGTTCGCGCTGAACGGCGGCGGCCCCCTGACGAGGTCGCAAAGCGCGTCCAAGAGGAGCGCGCCTCTTATATGAGCGAGAGGAGCACCGAGTGATATCGTACTCGAGCAGTCGCTGCACGCGCAAACAATACATGTTCTCGTTAGGACTGGGGCTCCTGGAGAGAAGCTTTGCGAAACCCACTTGGGCTTGGTCCCAGAGCTCCATGATTCCACAAGCGGTGTCCTTGTTGCCGTGGCTTTCGAGGTGCGTCGCCTTCCGCTCGGAAGCCCTCGTCCACGGCCAGCGGGTGGACAACGGCCCCCCGATCTCCAGCAACTGGATAGCAACGTGCGCCGTAAAGGTCTGGAGTAACATGCTCTTCAGGCGGAACATTACCAGGATGATGTGACATGTTAGGGACCGCAGTTTCCAACTTGTCGGCCTGCTCGCACTCCGTGGAGATGTCAAAAGGTCCTGGCGGCCTCGTGGCCCGGACTCTCCACGCAACCCACGCCTGCGAACGGCACCGAACAGGCGAACCGAGGCACCAGTGCCAATACAGATGCTTGCAAAGTGCAAGGAGGTCTTTCAGGTCTGGCACTTGGAACTCGACGCGTTCGTAATACTGGTCCGTGGCTGGGGACAGCCGAATAGGCAGGGCCCCGCCGCGGCCTTCGGCGTCGCGTCGTGCTCCGCGAGGCCTCATCGGCGCCCTCGGAGCTCGATGGCCCCGCCGGGCCTGCACCTTCCCGCGTTGGCCTGCGCGGCGCGTCCAGCACATGCTTGCCGATCTTGCCTGGCCGATGGGCGAGCGCCCTACGGCCTGCCCTCCAACCGTCGAAGCGTTTCGCCAGCTCGAGGTCGCCCCGGTGGACGAAGCCGACACTGACGTCCTCGGACGTGGCCTTCCGAGGCAGCCCGAAGAGGCTGGCCACATCCCTCAGCGCGCCCTCGAACTCCCCGAGGCGCTGGCCCATCGCATCGCAAACTTTACCGCCGCTCAGGCGCTCGATGAGTTCAGCAGCAGCCCGGATCGTGGTGCAGTGGGCCATGCAATGCCCATGCCGCACAACGATATCCTTCCTCATGGGAGAAATCGAGAATCTGAAGAGCCACATTCGAATGAGGACAATCAGTACATTATGCAGGATACACAAATGCCGTGCCATGAAGTGATGAGAGGTAAGCCCTGGGGACCACAGCCAAACCAACTCGAGCCCAAATGGCTGCGGCGTCCTCCTCCCTCTTCCTTTTGCCCTGCCCCTCCTCCTCCTCCTCCTCCTCTTTCTCCTCTTCCTCCTCCACCTCTACCTCCACTCATCATGACCTACCTGTTTGGCTTCCTGGCGGCTTGTTCCCTTCTCCTGGGGAACCCAAAGGGACCGATACCGCTACTCCCCGGAACTCTCCCAGGGTGCGTTCTGACCAGTATTTCGGAGCGGCTCCAGCTGTAGCGACGAGGGCCTCCCAGGAGGCCCAAAAGGGGGAAACGAGGGAAGGGTAGCGGTATGTCTATCTGTAGATTCCGTCCTCCCTGGACCTCCCCCGCCCCTCTGGAGAAGGGGCTGCGCAAAGGCAGCACTCCGACAGCAGCATGTGGCGCGAGTCGCAAGTCTTGATCACGATCGCCTCCTCCTGGCAGGGCACGGCAGCCGCCTGTACAGATGGGGGCGGGAAGGAGAAGAAAGGAGGATGAGGACGAGGAGGAGAAGGAGTAGGAGACGGAGGGAGGGGGAGGCGGGAGTGGACGAATCAAAACGAGTGTGCGCGGCGCTGAAGAGAGAATCACAAAGTGAGAATGAGCCGCCCAACATCCGTGAAACTTTTGCGAACTTTTGAACGTGCGCGGCGCGAAGGCGAAAGCCACTTTGGAAAGGATCCGCCCTCCACAAGTGAAGCTGCTGCAGAATTTCAAGCTTCAGCATCATACATGGTGAAGGAGTTCAGGCGAAACTGGGTGTGAGACAGCGAGGAGCTACTCACAAGGACAAGGGATGGAAGAGGGAGGTGAAGGAGGAGGAGGAGGAGGAGGAGGAGGAGAAGGACCAGGAGGAGGAGGAGAAGGAGGAGGAGGAGGAGGAGGAGGAGCTGAGGAGGAGGAGGAGGAGGAGGAGGAGGAGGAGAGGGCGGAGAGGGAGGAGAGGGGGAGGGAAGAGGGACGATTTCAAATCGAAGTTCTGGTCGGAGCGGGCTCCAGGACAGGTCCCGCGGACGGCCCTGAGGGGAAACGAAGCTCTGGGCCCAGACTTCTGGCGCCACAGACAGGTCGCGATCAAGAAACGCTGGCCTTACCAAATTGATTGGCCTCTGCGGAGGCTCGCTTCGGCCCCCTGGCCTAATCGAGCGCATCAATACAGAATCCCCTGGTCGGAGACGAGAGGACCAGGGCCTCGTTTCCGAAACAGCCGTGGCGTCAAAGTCTAGAGGGCAACACCCTGATGACCCAGCCCACGCACCCTGCCTCCTGCTGCTGCTGCTGCTCGCCCCCGCGCCGCTCCTTTCTCCTCCTCGCCAGCACACTTTCTCCGACGTCCGCCGCTATGTTTTTAATCCGCGGCTCCAGAAATCCCGACCCCTCCCCTTGAGCACGTTGTCTTCGGCCTGGATCCGTTTTGGGAGGCCCCCGGCACCAATAACGGTCCTGGGAGGCCGACATAGAGGACGAACGCCCGGATTGACCATTAACATGAAGAAGTCGGAGCTCTGGGCTCTCCACCTCCGCACTATCCTCCTCATGGCCTCTGTTCCCCGTCTGCTCCGCCCTGCTTCCCCCGTTCTCCCTCTGGCCTGGCCGCCATCTCTGCTCCGCCTCGCCACCACCTGTCCTCCTCCACCCTGTCTCCCTCCCCCCTTCCTCGCCACCACCTGTCCTCCTCCTCCTCAACCCCCCGACGTCAGGATTATTCATAACGTCGACCCCCAGAGGTCTCGACCCGTTCCCCAGGACAAGCTTTCCATCCTGAGTAATTTTATGGTGGTCTCGAGGCCCGGCAAGGGCCCCCAGAGGCAGAAAATAGCGGAAAACATCACGTCGTGCTTGCTTCTCATAACGTGAGGGGGTTCTGGCTGCTCTGCACTGTCCTCCTCCTGCCACCTGTCCCCTGCCTGCTCCGCCCTGCCTCCCCATCCTGCTTAGGCAAATCTAGATCTTTTCATAATGCGGTCGGTTTCACGTGCCGCTCCAGGCACTGGAAGGTCTATTTCGTGACACGGCCAGTCCGGATCACCTCACGCATGAAATGGTTCGAGTGTGGGGGGGAACTGCCCCCCCCCGTCCTCCTCCCCCTGCCCTCCCTCTGGCCTCTCGCCCCCGCGCTCGACACAGGGGCGGGGCGGGCCCCCCCTGCAGGGCGCGTGCCCGCGGCGTGGCCCCCCGCCGGGGGGGCCTCGGCGGGGTCGCCCGCCCGCGGCAGGCGCAGGAGCGCGAAGAAGACCTGGACGCGCCCTCTCGGCGTCGAGCCCAAGGGGGAATGCAGAGGGGGCGGGCCTTCTCGGAAGGCTCGGAAGGCCTCCAGCCTTCTGAGACGTTTTCTGCGCCCTCTCAGAAAGCAGTGGCAGCTCCCCAGAAGGCTGGAGTGCTCCTGAGAGGCCCCGCCGCCTTCTGAGGAGGCCTGCCCCATCTCGCTTCCCCGCGCGGGCGCGCTGCCGACTCTCCCTGGGGCGGCGGCGGCAGGCCGGGAACGATGGCGACGGCGACGAGACGACCGCGGCGGCGAGACGACACCTGAGATCCTGGCGTCTCGACTCTCACAGGTCGATCTAGCTCGGCAAGTGGCGCAGACAGCCAGGGTCCAGGGCTCTGGTCGCTATTTTTGGCGATGTTGCATTTTTCCCGCCGTCGGATCTCGGGGGACGGCGGCGAAGACGGTGGCGGCGCTAGGGCTCAGGAGCATGGAGAACCTGAGCATCGCTGAGCCGATGCCCATTCCCAGTAGCATGGCCCTGGCCCCGCTGGCCGACTTGCCCCCCTTAAGTATGCGCTGTTCCCTTCGGGGTTCGCGCGGCCCGCCCCAACTTGGCTGGGGGGAGGAGGCCAGGAAGAACACTCAGATCTCCGACGGTATGCTCTCTCCAATCCGAGCGTGTTGCCTCGATGTCGGCCTCTGTCGTGGTCCCAGGGACAATCAAACATGAACCCAAGATGAACAAAGAACAACTACCCACGGAGAAGGGGTCGGGACCTCCTTCTCCTCCTTTTCGTGCTCTTGTTGCTGCTGCCTCCTCATTCTCTTCTCATCTTCCTCCCCCTCTTACCCCCCCATGATCTCTTTCCCCTCCCTCTTCCTCATCCGCCTCATTCCTCATCCCGTAGAACTCCATCGACACTCCTCCTCCTCCTCCTCCTCCTCCTCCTCCTCATCCTCCTCCTCCTCCTCCTCCTCCTCCTCCTCCTCCTCCTCCTCCTCCCCCTCCCCCTCCTCCTCCCCCTCCTCCTCCTCCCTCCTAGTGCAAGGGGGGGGTCGGAAGGTCCGCCCAGCGCTGGGAGACACGAGCTGGCCCTGGACACCAGCCATGACACAAGCAGCGGTACCAGAGGCCCGGGCCAATCGGCCCTGGTCTGAAGTCGGGGCGCCAAGAGACGGCAGGGCCTGAGGGCATGGGGATCGGCCCCGTTCGGGTCCGACTCGTGGAGTTCGGGGGGGGGGGGGCACCTGGCTGCCACCGCGGCAGTGCCGAGCAGCGTGCGCATCAGGAGAGCTCTGCGCGGCACTGGTCCCTAGGTCGACTGCCTGTGACGGCGGGCGTGCTCTCGGACAGGACTGCACTGCACCCGAAGAAACGATTCCTGCACCAGTGCGCATCTTGAGGGGCGTCACTGATGGGACCGGCGAGTTGCGCTACCCATCGAGATCAGAGCAGGGAGGCAAGGGGAGAGGGCGGGCAAGGCGACAAAAACAAGAAAACCCATGGGGCACTCTACCGCGCCGCATGAAACGGAACCCCTCTTGGCAAACCGAAAGAAAACGGAGGGGCACCGATAGGCACAGCGGCGAATAACTCTGGCACCCCCTCTCTTCTGCCTCCTTCGCCGCGCCCACGCCCCATCGACGTTGGCCTAACTGTGCGTTAGGGGCGTCGGAGGCGGAAGTGGCCGCATGCTGTAGAAGCAGCTGATGCGTGGTGGCGGCCTGGGCTGGTCTCGCGATGTCGTCTGAAACGCGGCCCTGTGATGGGGTGAACACAGGCCAGATCCTTTGTGCTAGACATAACTTCAAGGGGTCGAACGGGACAAAAGGCTGTGCAGTCAACGCATTGGCCAGCTTGGTGGACGCCGCCAAATCTCGGCAGCAGACCAGAGACAACCATCACCGCAAGGCTAGGAAAGGGACCGCCAACGGTGATGCCCTGCGCGTGGCGCCCGATGTCGATTGCCGCGCGCAAGTCGGCACCGTCGGGGGGTCGGGGTCGGCCCGGGGGGCGTCTCGCTCCAAAAACCCTCGTACAAAAATGGAGGGGCATCTTGGGAGGCCGACTCTTACTTGCGCCAGCCTCCGCCGACGAAGGGTCCCCCATTTGGCGTCCGCCACCCGGCCGCAGGCTCCCGCCGAAGAAGGGGCGAAACTCCCTCCCGACCCCTCGAAGGCGAGGCCCATTCTCGGGCTCCAAGGTGCCTTTAAGTGACAGCCGACCCGCGCAAAGGAAGAGCCCGCCTCCAGTTTGCTTCCCCCAGCCTTCCGCCCAGGAAGAGATCCCGAACCCATCGCGAACCGAAGGCGAGGCTACTTCTGGAGCGCCCCACGGTGTCCTTGTGACACCCTGCTCGCCCAGAGCCAGAGGCTCTTGGGCAAGCCCGCTCGGGTTCAGGGCCACGACTGCGCGCCTTGCCGCCAGGATTTTGCGTGTGCCCACCGCCTCGCCTGCCCAAGGCATGCTCGGGCACGACGCTCACAAACGTGTAGTCCCTTCACGTCGGTGTGGCGGCCCAGGCTCCGCCCTCTCGGGCACACGCTAACATGTATTACGGATCGGGGAGACCCCCCCGAAACAAGGCGCCAGTGCCGCCAGATGTGGTGACGGAGCGCGTCGAGATTGGATGGAAGCGGGGCCCGTTGTTGATCCGCGCGCCTCAATCCATGTGTGCGTCTTCTCGAGCCTGTGCTTCCCATGGCTGGGCATTCCCCAAATCGAAAGCCCCGAACAAGGTCCTCGTCCTCATCCTTTCGCTGCTTCGCCCCGCTGCTTACAGGAATGCCGTTTCGCCAAGGCCGGTCTCCTGCGGACCTGGACATGGCCCGATGGTCGAGGTGAACGAAAAGACCCAACGGTCACGGCCGCACCGACACTACTGGGTCACGGGAGAGTGAGAACCACCCGGATTAACATCACAGGCCCTGGGCTCATGCTAACTGGTGCTGTGACTCTCGGCCCCAGGATGTCAATTTGTCAATCTGCCAAGTGCCCGATCTTCGCGCATCACGCTTCGTGATGCGCGGTTATCTTCGCGCTCTCGTGCCGCCGCTCTGGAGAAGGGCAACTCTCCAGTCCAAGCCGCCATGCGCGATTGTCTCCGTGTCCCCGGGGATGAACTAGAACGTCGACGTTAAACAAAGGACTCCATCACACTGGTGATGACAATATGTATTTGCTATCATGGCATGGGGCATACCTGGCCACCGCTGTTGATGTCCAGGCGGAACGCCGCATCGGAGATGTCCTCGATAGCCTCGGACGTCTCGACGGCCGACATCCGGGACCAGTCAACGCGCGACGTGACCTCAGCAGCGCACTCAGCCTGGGGGGCCGCCGCAAAACGGCACCCAGGCAGGCCTGAGCTAGATCGAATCGTGAACTCGGATCGGATCGGATCTCCAGCAAACCGTCCCGAATCGAGTCAAAGTCGGATCACAGCGACTGGCTCAGACGGCTCTAGGGGCGTAACTGCCCCCTGCGTTTTGGACGTTTTCTCGCACGCCACTTCTTCCTCCCTTCTTCATGCTGATATTACTCGCCATCTCTCTCTCTCTCTCTCTCTCGCTCTTTCCTCTTCCTCCTCTTTCTCGTCCTCCTTCACCTCCGCTTTGCACCTCTGTTCTCTTCCTCTCCCCCACCTCTCTTCCCTTCCTCCTCCTCCTCTCCCCCTCCTCCTCCTCCTGTTCCTCCTCCTCCTCCTCCCCTACTCCACCTCCTCCTCCTCCTCCTCCTCTCCTCCTCCTCCTCCGTCTCTGCGTCCTTCTGCGGGGAGACCACCGGTGCCACTTTGTGGGACATGTGCAAATACATTCCTTCGGCTGGCAAAAAAAAAAACAACAACTTAAAAACAAACGGAAGCGCAACACACACACAAACACACAAACTGAACAAAACAAAAGGAACAACCAACAACACAAAGGAACCTGAAGTGCTGGACGCTGAAACTTTCGGACAACCATTGGGAACAAAAACGACAACACACATACCAGGGGAAGCAGTCCGAAGGGAGACGTCCGAATTGGTGTGGGGGGTATTTTCCGTGGACTCTGTTTTTTTAAGGAGGGACTTCTGTTTTCCAATGGTGTTCTTATTCGCGTATCAGCCTCAAGCGCTTCAATGTTTGTGCATCCTTGTGTTCTCTGGTTCTCCACAAAATGGAAGTCGCGGTACCCCCGCTAAAGGATGCATAGACGGAGGGAGAGGAGGAGGAGGAGGAGGAGGAGGAGGAGGAGGAGGAGGAGGAGGAGGAGGGGGAGGAGGAGGAGGAGGAGGAGGACGACGAGAAGGAGGAGGAGGAGGGGGAGGCGGAGGAGGAGGAGGGGGACGAGGAGACAGACAGACAGACAGACGGACAGACAGACAGACAGACAAGCAGACAGACAGAAAGACAGACAGACAGACAGACAGGCAGACAGTCAGGCAGACAGACAGACATGCTCGTGGGGTCCCTCGTCAACTTCGCCTGGTATTCACAAAGATTTGGGACAAGTCTGGATCCTGAGGGGCGGAACCGTTTAAGGACGCCGTTTCAAAAGCGCGGGGGCTGTGCACACGTCGTGGGGGTGGGCCCGATCCAGGGCCGAAAGCGCCCCCCCCAGGGCCAACGCGACGGAGCCCCAAGGGCCAGGACCGCCTTGCTAGCCACCAAGCGGGCGCCACGACACTCGATCAGGCCCAGCCCCCTGACGCACCGCACCGCGAGGAGTCAGGCCTCCCACCATGGGCATTTGGCCCAGACGGGGGGGCCTCCGAGGGGGCTGAAGACCCGATCGTCTCCCGCAAGCACCCCGACCGCACCCGCGAGGCGCCTGTCTGGGAATATGAATTGTAGGGACCGAGGTCGGACGAGGGGTCTGAGGGGGTCTCGGCGGACGGCGGCCTGCCGCCAACAACTGTTAAAACCTCGAGTTCTGAGACCTATCTATCGTCGACCTCGGGGCCGAAAAGTTTGACTGGCAGGCAGTGCGATATCGACCGAGCTTCTCACCTCAATTGCACTTTGTCCTGGGCCACAATATCCTACATCTCGCTGGTCATTTCGAAAAGGGCCCGGTGCAGGGGGCCAGGGGGGGGCGCCCCCGCCTCGCGCGCCCCTTTCACGTCCGTCATTGCCTCGCCGAGCAGCGCCGCCAACTTCTGCCCGTGCGTCTGTGACAGCTCCACCGCGTGCGCGGCCCCCCCCCCTTTCGTCGCCCTCTGCTGCTGCTGCTGCTCCTGCGCGCTGCTGTCCTTGCCCTTGTTCTTGTCGGGCCTGCCCTTGTTCGCTTTCCATCGGAAGTATGGCGCCAGAGCTGTCAGCTGCTGAGGAGAGTAAGTCATCGCCACGTCGTTCCACAGAGCCGCGAAGCCCTTCGTCAGCTCCTCGTTGCTCAGGTTGCCTTCCGTTCCGTGCAGTTTTACCGACGCCGCGAAGACCGCCGCGCGGGGCGGGCCTCTGTCCTCGAAGTTGACCGTCCTTCCGTTCGCCACCTTGTCTCGCAACACCTTTGACTGCGCGCCGCGCGCCCTGGCCGCGGCCTCCTGCTCCTCCGCCAGGCCGCCCCTCGCGACCGTCGAACCTTTGATGCGCCGGCATCGTCTTCGCTGTCTCGCGAATGCCCTTGCCTCCACCGCTCCCTTTGCCCACCGCGCCCGCCATGGAGGTCCTGGCGGGAGGAGGCTGCGTCGCCGCATCTGGCGCTGGAGCTGCCAACCACGACGGAGTGCCCAGCAGGGCCGCGCTGCTCTCGTCTCTGACTTGCGGCGCGAGGAGGGGGGCGGCGCGGCGACGCAACTCTCGGCGCGCGCTGAACCAGACGATCCAGGTCGGCGCGCTCGACCCCGCACATACTGCAACCCGGGCTCTCAGGAGGGGCCAGGCCGCGCAACTTCCGAGCCCCGTCAGGAAGACAATGCCCCCGAATCAACGACCGAGAAAGATGTCGGCCAGTGGCCAGCCACCACCCTGGAGCTGATCGCATACATTTGTAGGTGATCGCACGTGTCCAGCCTTACGAATAACGAACATGGCGCCCAACTCGCAGGTGTCTCGGTGGATCTCGTTTCGTCGGAAAGACTGCCGATCATAACCACCCTTCCTCCTCCGCCCACTCGCACTTCCATTCTCGCGGGGCCTCCAAGCCAGGAGGGGCTGGAACCTCGTTGGGGGCGTGGAAACCTGGCGGCGGAATCGCCGCTCGAGTCTGGGCCGACCCAAAGGCAGAAACATCGATCTTGATAAAGTCGGGCGCCAGCTCGGGGTCCGCGAACCTGCAGTGGCACTCCGAGAGCTCTTCCACGACGGGGGCGCCCCCCCCCCCGAGAGCGCGCCGAACCTTTTGGAACTCCCCCCCTGGATCCGACGAGCCCAGGGAGACGCGTGTTTTGTCGGGCGATCCTTGAGCACAGGTCCGAAGCGGTCGAACTCCATCGCTGGCAAACGGCCAAGCAGCGCACGCGGGAGCTGCTTGTAACTGCCCGGGGAACGGGCAAACTGCTGGTGCCAACTCAAGCGCCTGACGAGCAACTGTTTTGCACGCGACTCCAGTCTCGGGCACTGCAGCATTCCTGAATAAGACCACGTCTGAGCATGAGCACCTTCGCGCGAGGTGCCTCGGCCATGGAGTGGCATTCGGCAGAGGCGCGCAAGGTGGGCATCCAATTCTCTGCGCTGCTGAGATGCCACCATCATCGCCCCGAATCCACTGTGCAACGCGTTCTGGGCAAGCCCAATCAGGATGACCTCGGCCCACCTCCAGGGGCACTTCAGGGACCAGGAACCGCCAATGGAGTGAAAGCCCGCCGACGCTGCCCCCCTGCGCCTGGAGACCGCGGGCCCATCATACCTGCGAGCGAAATGTAGGGTCCAAGGTATCCAATGCATTCTTGAACTTCCCCCCTCAAGATGGGCGCGGCACGTCGGCGGGGCCGCCCCTTTGACCATCGTACTTCCTGCCCCCGAGATAGGATAAAGAGTGACGTGCTTAATCTTGCTGGCCCTGGAGCCTACCTGTTCCAAGTCTTTCTGGAGCATATGGTCATAATCTTCCACCCATCCCAAGAAATCTGACATCCTTGGACATCGAGGCGCCGCCGTAATATTCCAGACGTCGTCAGCAGATTTAAACATGCTCATGTTCGCTCTCATTTCCTTCCATTCAGCGATAAGGGCCCGAGCCATGCGATGGACCTCGCGATGCTTCCAAGTCCAAGGTAGGATGGAACGACAGAGCGCGCCCCTGCAGTGGGTGGCGAAGCATGGGCCCCCCTACGGTGCCACCTTCGCCTGGTTGGAGCCACGCGGGGGTAAATTCGGACGAAGGGAGGCGAATGCGGGACCGTCGATATATTTGCGTCGCCGGCGGAACGTCTAAATCATTCTCAGTGCGCCGATCCACTGCAGCATCCAACTCAGAGCAGTGGCCCGACGCGAAAGCGTTGCTCATGTCCCCCAGGCTGGAAGAGAACGCATGGCACCGGCGCCGTGGCCTCCAGACCACCACCTGAGCCGACGCGATAGCCCCGTCTGGCCGACGATGTTTGAAACATCCATGATAAGTCACGTCCGCGGGTACCTGCAAGACGTCGGAGTAGAGGCCATTGCCCACAGGGTCGAGGACGTGGACAGAGCGAGAGCCGACGGCCAAGCTGCGGCGCCAGCGACCCGGGTCCGAGCCGCGCGATAGATCATGCGACAGCCGCCCAGCATCGCTTCCGCGAAGCAAGACCTTCTGGGGATGCCCACTTCAGCTCCAACACCCAATCGCCTTTGACGAGTCGCATGTCGGGGTGGAAGCAGAACTGCCGCAGCTCGACAGGCGGGGCCCGCTCAGGAACAACACGTCGACGACCAGCCTTCTGAAACGCCCGTGATGCGCGCTTCGTGTCGTCGCGGGCGCGCCCCTCCATCGCGGGCGCCAGGTCGGGGAGGGGGCCCCCGTGGCGTCACCGGCGAAGGCGGGCCCACCGCCATCGCCGACGCGCCAACAATTTCCCCTGGTTGCTCCCAGGCAGCCTGCCGCTCTGCGCGAGTTGGTTGGGCAGCTCGGACCGCGCGACCATCGCGCCCCTCAGGTCCGAACCTGCACCTGCCAGCTTCCCGAGAACGTCTAGTCGTCAGCGCGAGCTTCTCATCCTTCCAGGCTGCCTCGATCCCATCCTCCATGAATCTTTTCCGCGCCGCCCTCTCTCGGCGACGCTGCTGATAGAGCTGGCCAGTGACCTCCTTCGACTCCACTTCGATCTGCTCCAGCCCTGCGCCGACCCCATGCGCCAGAGGCCCCAGCTCGGCTCGGAGCTCGGCCCGTCGTCGGAGAAGGTCTCGCCGACGCACCGCCCCCCCTT